CCCCAAAACCCCAAAACCCCAAAACCCCAAAACCCCAAATTTGAATAAAATTATTGAATATTCTAGAATTCTTGGATCACAGATTTATTTCTTGATTTGTCTGATAACGTCGTCTTCAAACTCTGAATCAACATCTCCAACCTTCTCTTTATAAAAGGACATCCACGAATCTTTCTTATCCTTCTTCTTTAAGCTGACTTGGATACCATCTGATTTCAAACTCCACTTACATTCAGCTGCAATCACAGGTTTTTGAGTTCTTCTGCATCCAAAGTGATAGATTAGATTTTTGTTAGGCCCAGCATTTTTAACAAAGATGTCTACTGTTCTTTCGCCAAACTTGACATCGATATCTTCTTTAGGGATATCTTTGATACCATCAATGCTTATAATAGCTTTGATCCACTTTTGATTACTTGCTTCGTACCAAGAGTACTTTGTGATAGCTTTGACTTTCCCATCATAGCTGTTTAAGATATTATCTACTTCATCTTGGGTCACTCCTTCTGCTGATTTTCTAACTTGCTTCTTCGACTCTTCCTTTGGCTTGGATTCTAGAGGCTTTACGTGCTTGGAGGCATCAATACTTCAGTCCAACATGCAGTAAACATCATTACTATTTTGGTCAGGAAAACTGTACTTACCTTCTGGGTGAGAAATATGAAGAAATGAATCTATCGTGAGGTAAATCTTCTCCTGTCTTCTTATTCCTTCTATAATATCAGTTAGAATTAAATACTAAAAATTGATTGCAGAAAAAAGAGGTCATGAGCTTACATTCCATTGATATGATATACTTTATTTCCGTCATTTCTTGTTTCAAGGTAGGCATAAATGTCTCTGTATAGTTTACTGACTGTTCCTTCTTCATTTGTATTTACTGAAATCTTAAATGATTCTTTTATCTGGCCTAAATCCCTTGGAATCAAATGGATATAGAATGACTCTGATGCAGTTTCCATTTCTTTTGAAATTAATTTAATTCAGGATTAAGTACATTATTAGGGGTTTTGGGGTTTTGGGGTTTTGGGGTTTTGGGGTTTTGGGG